AAGGTAGATCAGAAACAGGGAAAATATGAATAAACTATAATTATAATTAACAAGTAATTAAATAAATAAATTTTAAAATAAATGAAATGCAATAAAAAGTAAAAAGAAAATAAATCTAAAGGGTTTCAGATTGTAAAAGTCGACCAAATCGCTCTCGCTGAGCTCTTAGTCTACCAGTCTGCTCTCGCTCCCACTAACCCTCTTTTTTGGCTTTTTAGCTTTATTATTAAGCAAGGTTTTACGTCGCGTATAGTTCAATAACAAAATCGCAAAATTTCTAAACGCTGTGTAACGGTATATATTGTTACGAAATGTAAAGGCGCGGTAAGATGGCTTCCCCGCAAAGCAGTTTTAGGCTTGCCATAAAATGGCAAGCGAAAGCAGGGTTGCCACATTTGGCGAGAAATCGCCCATTTGGTGACAAAATTGGCGATATACCATGGACGGATGGAGAATTTTCCGGAACGAATTCTTATCGGTTTAAGCCCAGAATGTTCTCGAACACAAGCCGAAAGCTATATAAACCCTGCTGGTCCGCAGTCAGTTAGAGTGTGCCTCGTCTAGCGAGCTGATAGTCGGTCATTGAGCGAGTGTCTCGAAGTCTAGCGCCCAGTTGGTCGTCGAGTGCATCGAAGAGTCTCTTAGTGTATCGCGGTTAGTGCATCGTCGAGAGAGTGTGTTAAGCCAACACCTTCTTAAACACAAGCCTCCCTACTGAAGGCTCGTAGTTTAGTGACGTCACAAACTGTTGGCCTTCTCGATGGGGTGCGCAAAATAACCCCTAAACCAGAGCCATCTAGATGGCATTAGCAAGTTAGGGGAATTTCGTCCCTGGTCGTGAGAAGGCGTGTGAACCAAGTCTCCTTAATTTGATATTGATATTTTTTTTTTCGATTTCAATCATGCCTTTAAAGTGCTATGTGCCGTTATGCCGAGAAAATTATTGTGACGGTTCTAAAGTATTAGTAAACAGATTTCCTAAGCAACAAATGTATTACATAGATGGTTAAAATCGATACCGCGAGAAAATTTTACCATTTCGAAGTATTTTCGGGTAAGTTAAGCCTAACTTGAAAGTTAAATTTATTAAGGACATCTACATTTAAAGAATGGATACGTTAATATTAAGGAATTTCATTTTAATAGAGTGCATTGTGTATAATATTGTTAATTACGTATCGATTAGTATAATTATGTATCGAATTGTATGGTTAATAATTATGTGTCGAATTGTATGCTAAATATTCACTTACTTTTTAAAATGTCCAATTTTTTACTTTTTGATTAATTTCATAACTTGGAACTTTTAACTTCATACGTATATGGCAGCAAATGAAATTATTTAGCTTAATATTTAATATATTTTGGTATTAAAAGTTTTGTGAAGGCAATAAATATGCTTAGGGTTTTGTGTACTTATCCTGATGGAAGATTTAGCCCTGCTTCAGTCTTTCAATTATAGCAGTACCTGAAGTGTTTCAGTGTTTCAATAGAAGAGCTTTAGCGGTAACATGCAAGGTATCGATAAAACGTATTCTGGCAGACTATCCCCTGCGGTTACAAATCTCAACGTTGCGTCAACAAGAGTGATATTATTCAAAAATCAAGGAATAAAATAGAATGGAATTGCGTTGTAAAGTGACGATTTCTTTATATTGAATGCGTAATATACTAAGGTCAAAAATAGAAACTTGACAGCAAAAATTTAGTAACGAAAAAATGAATCTTTGAAACGTAAAAAGAAAATATGGTTACAAAAGCGAGCTCAAAAATATGGATATGGAAATAGATATATTTCCGCATCTGAAATTCGTATGAGAATTGTGCAGAACTTGCACATTTGAGCCCTTACGCTAGATATCTGAAAGTTAAATGTAGCTTTTGCAGTGAGGAAGTGAAGTTTTCAAATGGATCCATCTAAAGAAAGATAGAAATTTTTTCCATATTTTTAGTGTTTGAAATGCACACGTAAACTATGCTAATATCTCTATAATACTTACTGTTTAATGTTTCCTCCGCATACTCTGATTCTTTCTCCAAATCCTATGGAAATCTTATGTCTAATTTTTCTGGACTCGTTTCAACATCTGATACCCACTCAAGGGCTTTTGTAATAGATATACTGGGGAGCAGGTGTCCTCGCGTGTCTTCGATAAATGTTTACACCGTACCGAAAGCTCTGAATCTGGCATTTTCTCTGAAATTATTCCCTGTTAATAATTAATCCTACCCATTAATAAATTCAAGATACTTTGCTTTAAAGTACCTACTTGCTGTTTATAAATCCTCTGCAACAAATGTGATCCTTTCTGGTCCTACAGCAATTATTATGACTATTGAAAATCAGCAAGGACCATCAACAGGTCAGAATGTAGTGAAATTCCAGATTTTCTTGCACCGCCGCTCTGAGTGTAGTAGGAAAATTGTATTCCATGGATTCCTTGACATTATGTAATCTCTGATAAGGATGTCGCGAATGCTTTAACAAAGAAGAGCACACATGTTCTAACAACTAAATCTAGCATTTTTGTTTAGCATTCTACATTTTACATTGCATGTCAGCGAATTCTCAATAACTGTAGGGCATGCCCGCAAGAGAGGATTTCAAGTAAGGAGTGAGCTACTGGAATAATTTACCAGATCATCCTAGAGACAGTAGATGCTACTTTGCATTTGACTGTTGAACATGACTGTGTTTCGGCCCATCTATTTTGACTAGGACCTGTTTTTGAGTCATCACAAACTCACTATGGGGACCCACACATGAATATCGTCCACTTTGCCTCCCTTTACTGTCCTGTACCAATCTCTTCACTCCCAGTCTCTTCACGCTGGGAAGTGCGGGGCCGCTTGACATACTTTTTAAAATTTGTTGTTTGTTTGCTGTTGTTTTTGTTTTAAAAAATTTTAGTATCTTTTATATGTATGTTGTACAATATCACTGTTTGGCCTGATAGGTTTTTTCTTTATTTGTGCATATGGCTTTTTGCTTCAAGCTTTCTGCATTTGAAGCAAAAGAAAATATCTCTGTAATGCCGCCGTAAAAGGATTTCTTATACATGTTTGTTCACAACATTTTTCACCCGATATATTTGGTAGGTATGGAAGAACTCGAGAAAACAATAGCTGAATAATGTCTGCCTGCATTTCTTTGATTAGGTTTGTTAGTATTTTCGTAAACAACATGAGGTCTTTTACCGCTAAAATACAATGTGTTCTGGAAAGGTAGAAAAATATTTAGTATTTTATGATGACGAAAACCGGGAAACTATCAGAGACATATTCATAACACTATAAAGAACTATCGCATTACTCCACAAGTCCATTCGTCATGTAAGTGTCTAGCCCATTCGTCTAACAGTGGAAGATCCATGTTTCTGGAGATAATAAAATTTATGTTTCGGGTTTTTTTCTCTGAATGTTTTTTTAGTCTCTATAATGGTATCCGGAGTAAAATGTGGTCGGCAACACCTCAATCTGGAATGGATCGACTAGGTTGCGCTCCTGTCCTCAGTCGCCCATTAAGCGGAAAATAAGAAGTATCGGATTCCTTCATGTGTTCTGACATGGTCTTAGCGTATCTAGCTGTCAAGTGAAAGGCCGAAGGTTAATGACAACAAGCTGATTTTTTGCGTTTCCTGCTCCTAAAAGCGAGCAAGGTACGTAAATATTCACACAAGTTTTATGCCATATTAAATTATATAGTATTAAAAACAAGACAATAAGTGATTCGGCAGTGCTCCTGAAGAGGTAAATTTCCGTTCATATGGCCACTGAAACCATCTCAGTTAATTGTATACGATTTTTTCTTTTATTTAATTTTGCACTTTTATCGCGTTACATTGAAACTATCTCTGTGGCAATATAAAATATACTGAACTGACTGATATGACACGAGCTGTTATCTGTGTGGACATTTACCAAGTGATGGAAAATTTTTAAATATTTTTGATGTGATGTAAGGTATTAAGGCATTTTTCATTTGTGTTTTGTGGTGTCATGGTCAATGGATCCGACGGTTCAAAGGTCTCATGTTCGGACTACGACTGAAGTAGATTTTTCGAAATTCCTTGTCTATAATACGATAAAAACACAAATAATTCTCTCAGATGTGTTGACGTAACTTTGACTCTTTTTGTAGCTTAATAAATTAACAAAATCATTTATTTCATTACTCTGCGATTGTGATGGAACTGTGATGGAAAGCCTAGGTTATGCTACGGGTGATCCATATGATATAATAATTTATGAAATGACGCCAAAAATCAGCCTTAGATTGTTGCAGATGTTGAATAAACTTTATCAATTTCTAAGCTACCATACATAATTTCTTCTTCTTTTAGCGGCAAGAAATTTTATGCATGTGATAGGAACAACAATTGTATTTATAATGAAAACCATGGATAACTCCTTCTACCTTTGCTAAATTTTTTGTTCTTTGAAGAAAAGGGAACTATATCTAAGCGCCCTCGAAATCAATAAAATTATATTCAAAATCCACTCCAAATTAAGATTCCTTATTTTTCCTTAAATTCTGAAGCGATGTGTTTCTTTTCCAACTATATTCTATTAATTTTCTAGGTAAAAGAATTGTATGAAAATGATCTCATTTTAAATTGTAACTGTAGAACCTGTATTTAGAAAAAACGTAAAGTTCGAAACTTTCTTTAACGCCTCTTGCTTTGACCATGCATAACACAACGCATTCTGCAAAGAAATTTCTAGCGTATCTAATCAGTTGAAAATGTAAACAATAAAATGTTTTTGTGAGTTGGACCTTATCAAAGCCTAAAAGCGCGTACTGAGGGGAGGAGGGACTAAATAACTCCAAGCCAACACGTTGAAATATTTCAACATAAACCACACTTAGGAAACCTATCGCAACATGATAGGAAGCTGGTAAACTCCTCGTGTTTCAAAAGAGGCAGAAGATAATTCAGAGAACTAATTCGCTGAGCTCCATTAACGAATTAAAAGGGAATGCTGCTTAGTTTATCTCTCGACCTGTGACCTCGAAGGTCGAGGAGAGAGCGCGTTGACGGTAGCTGGTTCCACATTTCGAAGTGCTGGCGACTGCTACAGAGCGATGGCTGCGAATAGTTAGAGGGGTTCTCTCCATATTTTATGACTGGATAAAGGCATGGCTTACGCATTGGATAATTTCAATCAATATAGCAAACAAAATATCGGTTTGCTTCGCAAAGGCAGGTATTCATTTTATCATCTCCTCCCACGTCATTTGAAGAAGAAATATGCTGTAAACAAGAAATCACATATCTAGGTATCATACTTGACACAAAATTCCCATTTAGGCCTCATTTTGCCAGACTAAAGCATAAATTTAATTTTTGCTCGCCTAACATAAGAACTCTTTTCGGGAAACAGCTAGTTTTGTCTTCCTAATAAAATAATAATCCATTCAGTCTCATTTTACACACTTCAAATAAATCCCTTAGAGAAATAGCAAGTGGTACTTCGTTTATAAGGCACAGCAGGCTGCATTTGAAAGATTTAAGATTGCACCGATTTAAAATGCGAAACCATCAAAAAATACATTTTCAAAAATGGTCATATGTTTAGTGCAGCATTAAACATCATTAAAGCACTATGATTTCAATTCAAGATCTTGAATGATGAGCACAAGAACAGCAGCGCATCCAACTTATCACTCCTCTTCTGTGAAAATTAGCATCATATAGAGACGGCGCATCATCATCACATAAGATAAAAATTCAGTATTTTTGACATACAGCTGCTAATTATTACACCAACCTCTTGGTATTTGCAATGGTGCTATCTTGCTTCTGAAAATTTAAAACACTATATGTTCTTGTCTCTTCATTTTGCATTTTATGTTTAAGGTGCAGGGAGTATGTGCAGAAATATCATCTGTTCGAGAACAAGAAGTTTGTTTAATAATATTTTTTCACTTATTGTTTTTTCGTTTTCCTATTTTCTTGCATTTTCGGTAACCACTTAAAATTTCATAGCAGTATTTATAAAAAAAATTCATAGAGCTTTGTTATGTGTAATTTTCTGTTAAATTGTTTATTAGTGTATATGATATTTCATATATATATAATTAATTTAAATAATAACACAAAGTGATATTATTCTTTGAAATAAAGCTAGTGTTAAAATGTTGTAGTAGCAAAATGTTTTTTTAAAACTTGCGATATTGAGAAACATAGCTCTTTGTAACAAATACGCATTTCTTCACAAATTTGTTTTCTGTTCGATACACAAATACGACGAAGATATGTAAAAAAATATCGCATTCCCTTGTGTGCACTCTCGTGGTACGATTTGCGCGTCTCAGCAGCAACTAGAAGAAAACCAAGGTTAAGCTCCTTCCGTCACTGAGGTCAAACGGAGATACAAAGGAATATTTGCTTTCAAGTAGACTAGGAGTAACTGATGTCGCACAAGAGCAAACTTTATAGTGTAGTATATTTGGTAGATACGTTTTTCGAATCTCTCAGAGATCATTGTTTTTTTTTTTATGTTTCTAAGTTCGAAAATATCTACACTGAAGCCTGATTTAAATGTATTGGACGATGATTCTCCGATGCTAGGAATGGGTTGAGGGGTCTTCTTCATTCTTCCCAATAGTTTCTTAAGCGGAGACGAAAGTAAAGAATTGGCGCATATCCTCATTTACGTGTTGTCGTAGTGTAAGAGGTTAGTATATATATATATATATATGGCTAGCAGCTGGAAGATCCGTCGTACGAATCCTGGCATGGACATAGCTGTTTTTTCACATTTCTTGCTCCAAAAAGTCAATACAAATAGCTATGAATTAGCCATTTTCTTTCCTTTCGAATGACCTTTCTAAATAATAATGTCCTAATACTGCACAGAAATGAAATGCGTCAGTTTTAATTTCCTCATACAATTTCAATTTAGAGTTTGGATTTTTTTGGTAAATCTATCCTTTCCGTTTTTTTTTTGTTTGTTTTGAGCATTTTATGATCTAAAATAAGCGAATGCAAGCGATCCTGAGTATGAATCTTTATTTATATAAATATTTACCTATTAAATGTAAAGTACGGAAAATTTTGAAATAGATTTTAAATATTACGCTTAAAAATTATATGATATACTTTGAAAAATAAAAATAGAATCAATTAAAGCCTCAAGTAAGCAGTTTCAACAAACTTGTAATGTATTTGAAGAGAGTACCGATACAAAAGATAGTAACGCATAAATATCCAAAGCTCATATTCATGATATAAAATAGTCAAATGAATTTTAAAAATTTACCACATATATTTAAAAAAATTTTCTGATAAAATTATGCAACTTCTTGAGAAAGAAGAATTCAAAAGCTTTACTTTAAGAAGAAGTTAAAATCTAATTTCGCTTAGAAAATTCATCAAGAAGGCATCTCTTTTCTCCGGCAGACAGCCCTCTTGTGTTAGGCTGTATTCAAATAAACGAATAAACATACACAGTATTAGTTATTTCAAGAGACAAAGGAAGAAACAATTATTTTAAAAATTTCAAAAGAAAAAATTAAGTACAGTTGTTTCAGTATTGTAACAGGTAGCTATAACACAAATAATTAACACGTTTAAAAAATCCCTAAATTATTTTCAGTTATATATTGCTAACCGATATACAAAATGATGAATCAGGGAAAAACACAGTTTGATTTAGAATAAAATGCCATAATTTATGCGCTGAATATATTGGGTTCCTAATGGATTGAATGCACAAAGGACCGATGAGAACTTGGTAAAATTTATTTTCCCAAATGAAGAATTTTACATTTCTGGAACTTTCCACAAAAGCACTCGTACAGCTGCTTTCAGTACGACAGAGTACAGTCAGCTATTAACACTTTAAACTACTGAGAATGTTAAACACAAGGCAATATATTAAAAAAACCCTTAAATATGAAGCTCGCACCATTATGTCTCAGTACACTGAGCTGAATTTTGAACTAATCTGAGAACTGATGTTCCCTCTGGTCTTGTATCGTTTTACCCCCGACCGCCGTGAAATTTACAGTGCCTTCGATTTCTCAAAATTGATAGAAGGCATACACAGTTACAAAAGGCCGGATACAGTTACCGTTACATAAAGATAGGACTAGTTACCGTTATACAGGAATAGGATTAAAATGTCACCAAACTATCGCCAAGTTTAACGACATATATTGAATTCTTGCCAAATTTCGAGAGAAATTTATTCTCAAAACCCTTGCCAGTTTGGCGAGATAGCAATTTACGTTAATGTTAAATGGACGTATTATTTTTCCGGCAACGCGTCGCATTTCTGAGCCCTTTCATGATACATTTTACAACAGATACTAACATGTATATATAAGTTCACTAATCAGATTATGATGACTTACGGATTCGAACTACGACATTATTCAGTCTGTTTATTATTTTGTTATAATCGTCCCAGGGTTATTGTAGTTAAGTGATATAAGTCGTTTCCATTTAATCGGATTCCATAACACACCTTGTCACCTTCGTTGAATTGATGCCCTGTAGCTCTCTTCTGGTATCGGGTCATCATCGTCTCCGTTGCCAAGTTGCCTCGTTCTCGTGCAAAACCGTGCAAGATTACAAACCGTGCGTAGAGATCCTAAATATATTTCTCAGGCGATGAAGGCGTATCCGGACGACGACAAAACTTCACAAGACAAACGAAAGTCATGACCGAAGAGCATCTGGAATGAGGAAAGTCTGTAAGTCTCGTGGATAGCATTGCATTAGGCTAGTAAGAACAGAGCTAAACTCTGGTCAGAATCCTGTTGGTTTCTGGAAACAATCAGTGAGAAGTTATTAAGGATGGTTCGATTAAACCTCTCTACATGCTGTTTGACAGTGAATGTGAATGTATAGTTTGGGTTTTGTAAATGCCGAGATTTCTTTAATTGTAGCCGAGATTTCTTTAATTGTAGCCGAGATAAAATTCCTTCCTTGAACGAAATGTAACTAAAGAGGCACTCCAGACCTGGAAATCTAATGCTGTTTCGTTACCTCTACTACCGTGACAGACTCTTGATCAGGAATTGGTTATGATCACAAATTATTATTAGCCTACAAATACAATCAGGATGTATTTGTTGCTATCAGCAGTTCGAGACAGAAGTGTCAGAATATCAGAGGCGATATCCTGACACTTCTGTATATATCTTCTACAAAATCTTGAGCTTCTATAAAAAGCTCTTTTATATTGTAACGCTACAGATTCCCTCAGATGCGTTTCCTCGCTCTTTACTACTCGCACAGGCATCGTAAGATTGGCACCACTTTTGCACGTCAGCCGCTGCATTATTCCAGTGGAAGCGCTCTCGAACTTAATGCAAAATCTTCATTATTATCTACTGTCCTCCAGTAGAACTATTATGCAACTCTTTCAAGGCGTCTGAGATAAAGGATCTTGGAACAGCTGCGATCGGCATGTCTTTCAGTCATCCAATTCGAATTTCCGGTACAAGACGCCTCTTCGGATATATAGTGAGTCCCAGAAAGCCCTACATTTTTTTGCCATAGGACTATGGATCCAAAAGTCTTTCCATGCAAGTTTCTTAATTGTAGACCCCATTTTTTTAATTATGGGCTCAATGGCTCTGTCTTCCAACTGGTTACTCCATGGGTCTGGGTTAGGCGATGCTGAAATTTTATTTGACGTTTGACCGGATCGTGCTTTGGATCTGGCACAATATCGGTAGTTTTCTGAGCAGAGTCTTCGAGACAGGGTGTTGGCATTTCCGTGTTACGATCATTTCCGATAACATATAAGTGATGTCATATTTCTGCAGTCTCTGAATCCATCCGCCTAGTTGGCCTTCGCGATTATTGAAATTTAAGAGCCAGATTATCGATGCTTGATCTACTTAATGAGACAAGGAATTTTTACTTTGTTCTAAATTATCCTTTCTTCTAATTTCTGTTTCTAGAGTTACTTAAAGTAGTTTTTATTTCGTTCAAAATGAATTTGGCTTTCGGTGTTGACAAGCAACGAAAATATGCCTTATGTAACTTCAGGAAACATGTGTTTTTCGTGTTTAAATATGTCCAGAAAATTTTAGGAGAGTTCAAAGTAATTGTTTGAATTTTTTAATGGATTTATTTGGCAGCGTATTTTTATGGAACTCGTACTGAAAGAAAAGCATGAAAACTGTATAATGTATTTTCTCATTCCTTCCAGCATGCCTTTGTAGTTTAACGGTAACACACTCAACG